AACCTCAATGTTAAAACACCTTCAAGTCTTTGGACCTTTCACCATGCTGTTCCACCGCCATCCTTCCCAGCGTGGGAACTAGTTAACTGAATACAATTGTCGAAGTGTGTGCGTGTGTCACCCCCTGTACCAAAGGGTTCAAGGCCACTGTTTCCACCACCACCACTCCATAAGGCAGGGGGACCAGGCATCTCGCTGCTGACCTGGTCAAACAAAGCTGGGCAGCGAGATGGGAAGCACTGAGAGACGTCTGAGTGTGTACCTGCTTCAACGGTTGAGCAAGCTGTTCCAATCCTCCTTTTTTGATTCCATGGTGGTTCATGATACTTCCCACAAACCCTTCCACTTTCTCACGCAGCTGAATTGTACAGAGGCTCGCCACCACACACCTGTCGAAACTTTGTTCAACAATACGGTTTTGCCGACTCATGCACCTTGCCGTTCCATCACCTTCCTTCTCATCGTGGGAATTGAGTTAACAGCAAACCAATGTCAGAGTGTGTCTCGCTCAGCCGGCCCCATTCGGGTGCTGAGTGTGATCCTCCGCAAGGAGGCGCCGTTTCATTTGGGAAATCGTGTAACTGAGCTCTTCCACCTCTCACAGGAATTCACCACTTGACCAGCCTTAACTGAATTTACTGCTTCCACGGCCGCCGGGCCAAAAAACGGGATTTGACAAGCCGCCGGGCTTAAAAACGGCATTCATCCCCCTTCAGGCAGGTCTCCCAACACCCCCCCCCACCGCGTTCTTATCCCGACCTAATTAGGGTAACACAGGGAAATGGTACTCGACACACTTGTGTGTCGGTGCCTTTCCCTTTGTTGTCCCTGTTCTAGTCTATCCTACCCGGGCGGTCTAAGACTAAAGTCCCGCTCCCTAACTATTGCATTTAATTCATTTCTGCTAAGTAATCAGTAACTCTAGAGTGCTAGGTATTCAGACACACACATGTACACACACATGAACATACAACCCCTCCCTGCCCCCCGCTTTCCTTCTTGCGCTTTTCGTCGTTTGTTGGGCTTTCTCTCAGGCTTTTTAGGTTGCTCTTGAGGCTCGTTTCCCTACCCCAGTCAAGGGCTAAGTGTTCACTTTTTCTACACCTACCTTTCCTTCTTGCCCTCTTAGCGCTGCTCTTTCTGTCTTTCCTTTCTTTTGTTTCTATAAAGGCTCTTTAGGTGACTATTGAGGTGTTTCACACGAGCGCCGCGAAGCGGCACCGTGTGTGTGTCACCCCCTGTACCAAAGGGTTCAATGCCACTGTTTCTACCACCGCCACCACCACTCCATAAGGCAGGGGGACCAGGCATCTCGCTACTGACCTGGCCTAACAAAGCTGGGCAGCGAGATGGGAAGCACTGAGAGACGTCTGAGTGTGTACCTGCTTCAACGGTTGAGCAAGCTGTTCCAATCCTCCTTTTTTGATTCCATGGTGGTTCATGATACTTCCCACAAACCCTTCCACTTTCTCACGCAGCTGAATTGTACAGAGGCTCGCCACCACACACCTGTCGAAACTTTGTTCAACAATACGGTTTTGCCGACTCATGCACCTTGCCGTTCCATCACCTTCCTTCTCATCGTGGGAATTGAGTTAACAGCAAACCAATGTCAGAGTGTGTGTTTGTGTGTGTGTGTTGCACTGCGACATCAAACATAGTGGCACCACTCATGCAAGTAAGTTTCGTCATCTTTCCGAACTTCAAGAATCCCACTGCCCAATAGAATTCGTGTGTCACATGGTCAACTGTATGTCAAGACAGCCTTCCACCACGTAGTTGGAGAAGGCAGTGCCCAGCAAGAGGCGACCTAGCCAAACAAGTTCGGAGACCAAAGTCAACCCAACGAAATCCCCAAACCCAAAATGCAAAGGACACTGCACACTTATTGCAGAATGTGGCAAGCACCATTTAGGCAACATAAAGATGTGACATGGAGGAACTGTTCATTCCAAGCAAAAAAATAACTAATAACAAACCAACGACAAACCACACGATGTTTACAACACATTTTGTCGTTGTCCCACCTCGGCCCTTTGAAGAGCTGGTCACATCCTGCCAGCTGCCCGACTCAGTCTGACCGCTCCAAGGGAGTGCTGAACGGACTGTGGTTGCTATGTATGAGCTGGATCTACTTGCTCTCCGAACTTTTTGCGAAAAGTCGAAAAGTCCAAAAAGCTGCACGAAAAGGGAACGATGATCAAAAGAGTCACCTGCCAAAAAGGTCCCGCGGCTGGCCGGGTCCTTTTGGCGGGCGTCTCTTTTGATTCTTTTTGAAGGTCATCGGGGCTGCATGTTTTGACCTCCAGATCCTCTCTCTGTCAGCAGGAGCAAAAGAAACGTTTGGATCAATTCTGCTAGACTTTGTTGAAGGGCACGGCATGTGACTGGTGTCCAAAAATCTCGAAAAGTCTCGCTGCGTGCTTTCGTTTCCTTTGCCTTTTTGACTTTTTGACTTTTCTCACTGTTTGATTTCTCTCACTGTTTGACTTTTTGCGTTTTGCTTGGTGTCTTGCCGGAAGATGGATCAACACTCAACATTTGCAAGACAAGAAGGCGAGAAACATACACATGCGGCTGGGAGAAGATGGATTCCATTCCGCCCGTAAACAACATATTGTTGCAACATGTTGCAACATCATCCAACATCTACAAAAGATATTAGCATGGCTTTCGGAGTGAGAGTCGGTGAGCCAGCCCATTTCAAGTGTAGCTGGTGTCGACCACTGGTGACGGGACAAGCCAGCCATTGCGACTGGCAAAAACAGGTTTCCGACCCATTTACTTTCAAATTGTCGATATTGTGGTAAGAGTAACATTGAATGTATAACTTAATAACTAGTATAACATCCCTACCCCTTAGCAGGGGGGGGACCTGAAAAAATGTAACTTACATTTAGCCCTTTACATATACCTGGAAAAATGTAACTTACATTTGTTAGGCTTTTAATGAAAAATGTAACTTATGCAAGTTACATTATTCCAGGGAAAATTTAAAATGTAACTAAATATGTAAAAACTGTAAGTTACATTTTTTCAGGTCTAGGATGGTTCAAGGTAACACTACGCAAGACTCAGTGAGGCTGCTTGAAGAGTATGGGCTCTTTTCTTCTTCGACTGCGCTCTTCGACTACGCAAAACTCTTCTCATCAGCTGGTTCCTCTGCAGAATGCCAGAAAGAAATGTAACTTTGGTGTGCGCAGGCCTGGGAAACTTGCATTATCACCCAGACTGCGCTGTGTGCACCTGGCATATGTTACATTTAAATGCCTTTATCACTGGGTGTGCTTTGGTTGGAGTTCTTCTGTTTTGATGTTGTGGGAGGAGTGCGTTTAATTCTAGACCTGCTGTGCCAGAGTGTCAGCAGTGTTGGACCAGAATGCAAGAAAGAAGTGTAACTTAGACATGTGGACGTCTTGGAAACATGCATTTTCACCTAATCTGTGCTATGTGCAGCTGTCACATGTTACATTTAAACATACCTTTTCAACTGGAGTGCTTTGGTGGACTTGTTGTGTTTTGTTGTGATGTGCTGTGGACCCATAAGCAATTGTAACTTAGGTGTGTCCAGGCCTTGGAAGCATGCAGTATCACCTGGAATGTGCTTGCGCAGCTGGCATATGTAACATGATGTTACATGTACACATGCCTTTTCACCCTGTGTTCTGACTGCATTGATTTTCTCGCTTTGATTGTCGTTGACTAGCTCTTACTTCATACAACATCATACGACCTCTCTCTTGATCCATTCCTGCTACTATCGCAGGCAAATGACATCACAAGACTCTGCACAATGCATTCTCCCCCAATGGGGGGGGCTTATTAAATGTAACTTTCAACCTCGCACACTCCAAGTTACATTTTTCACACCCCT